ATCTGGGGCATCTGAGAAAAATAGAAGTGGGACTGGTCTCGGTTGAAACGCTGCAGTTGGGCTGCATACTCATTTTTGCTTTCTTCTGCCATGTGACTGCGAAGGTGGGCTTGTTGCTTGGCCTGAGGAATATCGAGGCAGGGGTCGCTGCCAGGTTCTGGCTCCATCCCCGCCGGACCGCCAAGCCCATCCCAGACCCCACAGGTACCTTCTCCACGTCAGCCTTGGTGGCATTGATATCCTGATCGAGTCGCTCAGCGGTCTGGGCTGCCTTTTCAGCCTCCCGGCAGTCCCGCTCAAACTTACGCTTACTCTATCGGGGACAGAGCCAGAAGGAGGTAGAAGGTGAGAAAGCAAGGTTTCAGAGACTGGGGGGGACGTCACCCAGCAAATGGTGTGGGGGGGGGTGCAACGGGCATGCTGGAAACCCATGGGAGGGGCTCCAGGCCAGACAACGCAGGCAGCTGCATGAAACAGCGACCATCAGCCTGCTCCTCAGGGTCAGAGCCACCCTTCTCCTTACCCACAGACTCACATTCTCCAGCTGTTTGAAGCTACTTTCCAGCTGCTGCTGAGCCCGGCGGCCTTCCTGAAAGTGCTGTTCCAACAGAAATGGTTAGGCTCCCCTGGGTTGAGGTAGCAGTCCCCGGGCAGACCCAGAGCGGGGATCACTCACCATCTTTCTCTCCTGTTTCATCTCCTGTGAGTATTTGGCCAGCTCGAGACACACGCGGACGCCGAGGTTCTCGGCCACCAGCTCTCGCTGGCCCGCAAAGTCATTCACCTCCTGGAGAATCTGCACGAAGGACTGCTGCTGGCTGAACCTGGGGCAAGATGGGCAGGGGCGAGCCAGGGTCAGGTACCCATCCCCCCACCCCCCAGGAGCCCCAGGACCCACCTCCAGATGGGAAAGGGAAAGCCCCAACACATTCCTCCTGGAAGCAACCATAAATTCTGGTCCATATCCCTTACCCCAAACCCTTCAGGGGGATGCATTTCAGAACTCAGAATTTTTCAGGTCTAGAAAGGGGACATAATGCTTATACCATCTTTTATGCATCACCCCAGTGGGGTCAGGGGCAGCATCCTGTAATCAAACACTGTTAAGTATTTTTGCAGTGAGAGGTATTAATCTTCACACTAAGTGCGATAAAAACCAAGGACATGATGAAATTAAGTCAGGTCAGGTCAGAGACCACTGCCAAACTACCAAAACAATCTTTTGATTTCTAGAGCTTTTTGGATTCTGGAACTGGGGGCCTGGAATGAAGCGCAATCCTCCTGTGACACTTACTATGGGCTAGACACTGCTTCAACACACTATCTCAGTTAATCTTCAAATGAGCCGTACAAGGTCATCGTCATCATCATCATCATCCCGTTTCACAGGTGAGGAAAACAGGCATAAAACGTAAGTCAATTACCCAGAGTCACTTGTTTAGTAACTGCTGGAGCCTCCCTCACTTAATAGGAGAGGCAAATGGAAAACTCATCAATTGCCCAAAGTCGTGGGGCTGGAAAATAGCGGATATAGGATTCCAGCAGAGATGATGGGGATCCTGCATCCATGCTCATCCCTGTAGGTGGGAACTGAAGCACGAGGTGAGGGACTTGCTTAGGTAGTCTAGCTGAGGCAGAGGAAGTGAGACCAACACCCCTGGCCCCCCAAATCTAGCCTGGCAATCCCTCTCCATCCTTACTTGGATTCCGGGTCATCTTTGGCAGGTCTCTTGGGCAGGTATTTTTTCACCAGGCTCCTAACGGAGAGAGGCAGAAAGGCTGAGCCCCCAGCCCTCCAACAGCTTCCCCAAGCCCCAGGCGGATCCATCCTAGGGTCTCACCTCAGCTGCTTTGCATAAGCCTGCTCCACCTCGGTCCGCTCTTTCACGAACTTCACATACTTGTCCAACAGGTCCAGCCCCCACTGCGTGTGCCGCTCGAGCACCTCAAACTGATCCTGGAAGCGGGTGGAGGATTCGAGATCACGACGTTGGGGCCCGTGTGGGACCCCACGGGCCGGAGGACCAGGCGCAGGAGAAGCCTCAAGGCTCAGAGCTAGCAGAAGGTGTGGCTTCCCGGCCCCGCCCCGGGCGGCGCGGGGGGAGGCAGGAAACCGGCGGGAACCCCCTCCCCTTCCCGGGAAGGGCCAGGGAACAGGGGCGGGGCCCCAGGCGGACCACAGGGTCCCCGTCTCCAGACCGCCAAGAGGGGTGTGGAATGGGGCAGAGCCACTCCCCCCTGCCCCGGCTCCCCTAATCCCCCCTCCCAAGATTCCGGAAAATCCGGCCGGCCCGGCGTGAGTCAGGACCAAAGGGGCAGGGTTAGCCGCAGTTTGGGGGGCCCCAGAATGTCCAGGAGACAGGCACCATGTTCCCCGGGTCGCCATGCTTCCCGGGGTCCCCCCAAAATGTGACTCAGTTTCCCCCACTAACGCCACTGCACCTCCGAAAGAAATTCCAGAGTTGCGGGGGAAGGAATCTAGTTACCCCTCTGCACCCAGAAACCCAGGGATGCCACCGCCCCCATAAAAAGGAGGGGTCAGAGGTCCCGACTAGGATACGGGGAAATTTCTGGGGCTTCCAGAGCAGAGGTCAGAGGCTGCCTAGGGCCGGCCCCTCCCAGTGCCTGGGGCGGGATGGGGGAGGGGGCTGCGAGGCAGCCTCGCAGCCCCCTCCCCCCCAGAGCGTCCCAAGCCCCTAGGTGCTGATTGGAGGCGCCGAAAGGGCGGCCAGAACTTCTAGGTCCCACGTGGGGTTGAAAGTGGCCAGAGGGGCCCCTCCCCCGCCCGAACCGGACAGGCGGGCGGCGGGCAGGGACCCAGGGGCCGTAAGATAAGCCGCCCGCCCAGCCAGGGTGCTCAAAATAGGTGACCTCGCCCGGCCGCCCCGGCCTGGTCCCAGGACTTCTGCCCTCTTCACTCTGAACCCCGCGCTCAGTTTCCCTAATCCGCTCCTGCAAGGTCGCCCTTCGCCCTGGGCGTCCTGAAACGCCCTGGGAAACTCCGAAAGAAGGCGAAAAGCGGGGACTCCAGGGGTCTCCGAAGGGGGAAAACGCCGAGCCCCCGCTAAGGTCTTGCAGAAGCAAAGGGGGAGGGGATCTGGACTCCAGAAAGGGAGGAACTTGGAGCCGGGCCTATCGGACTCACCCACAGCTCGGTGCCCCAATCCATGCTGCTCCCGCCGAAGCCGCCGCCGCCGCCGCCGCCGCGCCCGGTCCCCGCCGCCCGCCGCCGGGAAACTCGGCTTGGAGCGGTGCGCCCGGCCCCGCCCGCCAGGCCCCGCCCACTCCAGGCTCGGCCACGCCCCCGCAGGCCCGGCCACGCCTCCATCAGCGCGGAAGCCCAGAACAGCGCCCTAAAGGCGGGACCCCCCAGGAGGCGGGGCACAACGGACGCCCCGCCCCCTCTTAAAGGAAAGTTGCCACCAGCCGCCTTTGGACCGACGCCTTAAAAGACCCCCACCCATTTTCCAAATCCCCCGGGCCCTTCTTCACCCCATCCTCCCCAACCCTACCCCGCCCGGGACTGTTCTTACTTTTCTCTTTTCCTTCAACCATTCCTTAAAGGGACAAGACATTAAAACCCCAACCCGAGAGGTCCTTCCCCCCACCCCGTCGCTGGGAGAACCTGAGGTCACCCCGCTCTTGCGGGCCGGCCCGGCTCCAGACATCTATGCTGGGCCCACTAATGGTCAGGTTTCCTCCGGCCACAGGGCGGATGGGAGGACTTCGATCCTGCCCAGAACGCGCCTCTGCCAAGGCCCGATCCATTAGCACCCCCACCGCATCCTGCCTTCCCCCCTCCCAAAGTCTGCGCCGGGAAACTGAGGACGGGCCGTCCTTGGGGCACCGGGCCCAGGTCTTTCCTCGGCCCTCATCCAGTTCGCGCTTCCACCTGCCCATTTTCCAGTCGCATCCATTTAGACCCAATCAGGCTTCACTCTCTGTACAGCCCCTGGTTCCGACTCCACCTCTCCCTCCAGACACTCGGGCCCTGGGGCTTGGAAGTCTGTCACCTCCCTCATAAAAGTCTGTTCACACTTCATTAATCTCTTTAAGGCACTGAGATGAAAGGGGAGAGAGAACCCTCCAGCTCTCACCCTCATCCTCTCCTGCCTTTGGTCCTTAGTGCCTATGGAGGTGACAGACGTCCCAGAGCCCCCAGGCACAAGTTAGGCTCTAAGCCTCCGGGCTCCCAGTACACAAACCAGTACACATACTGGGGAGCCCAGGAGGATAGCCCCAGGAGCCCATACTGGGACAGATGGCTCTGTGGGGACCTGGCCCCACCTGCTGGTGGCTTCTGAGCTAGAAAACCTCAAGTTGCAAAGTGAGCTGTGCCCCAGGGCTTGGGCGACCAGATGAGTCAGGGGCTCGGCATGGGTTCTGACCTCAGTGGCTTAGCCTGGTATTAAGAGTCTCAACACTGGCCTCAAACTCAAATTGGAATTTGGACTCACTCCAGGTCGGCACCACATTTGGGATGGGATCTGACTCGGGTCAGAAGTTTAGCGGAGGGGTCAGCTACCCACTAGGAGGTCTTGGACTCAAACTAGGGTCCAGAGGTCAGGCCTAGTCTGGGGTCAGGGCTCAGTCCAGGTGGGGGGCTCAACCGGAGATTAAGGCCCAGGCTCAGCGTAGGTCGAGGGTCAGAAGGGAGTGGGGAAGTCTGGATTTCAGGCTGATGTTCGGGCTCAGTTGCAGGTAAGGACTCAGCCTGGGGTTGGTGTTCAGTCCGTCGACAAGCCCAGCCTGGGATCTTTGGGTGGGCTACTAGCTGCCTCACTCTACGATAAAGGAGGCTCCGCCTAACGCTGGAATTCAGCCCGGGGTCATAGGTCATCCTAGGGTCAAGATTTTAGCCTGGGACGAGGTTTCGGTCCTTCGTGGATCAGGAAGATTAGAACAGGGCAGGCCTCGGCAGATGTGCGTGTTTACCAAAAGCCTGGGCTCTGGCTGGGAGCCACATCCCCAGGGTAAAAAGAGGAAGTCCGTCCTTGGGGATGTCGGGAAATGTAGTTTATTGAATGCCCTGTAGCGCTCTCTGGTCTCACTGCATTCTGGGTAATGTAGTCCTGGACCGATCTTCAGTTGGGCGTGGGTGAAGGAATTCCGCTTCAAGGGCTGGCCATCAGATCCATCAGATTGGTTAGATGGACTGTTTATCAAATTACATCAGTACAATCGTTCTAGTGATTGGTGAGAGTGGAGGCGGGTTAAGCAGTATCAGCAGCCCATTCGGAGCTGGTGATGTCCATTTCGCGTCGTGCGGGGGAGTGGCGCGGATTTTCGAGGAAACGATCGCTGATTGGCTGGGACGGCTTGACCTGCCAGAGGGTCGGCCCCCATCGTGCGGCGATTGGCTCACCCGTTGGCGGGTGGGTGCGTCAGAGGCGGTGTCTGGGGAGGTGGTGGCTCCAGAGATGGCAGTGAGTGAGAGGAGGGGGCTCGCCCGTCGGAGCCCCGCGGAGTGGGGGCAGCGGCTACTGCTGCTCCTGCTCTTGGGCGGCTGCTCTGGGCGCATCCACCGGCTGGCGCTGACGGTGAGTCCCGTCGCGCGGCGGACTGGGGCGGGGGACGCAGTTTTGCTTCCTAGGAAGTCCCTGGTGTGGAGTGGTCTCGTCCTACTTCCCCCTCTTCTTACGCGGGATGGAGCCGTCCGCCGCCCCCCGCTTCCAGGCCCCGAGTGGTCTCGTCCGAGGAGTCCCCCCCGCCAGACCTCGCGTGGAGTTGCCTGGCCGACCACGCTAGGGTTGTGCCCGGCCCACTGGGGGTGGGACTTCACCTCCAGGGACTACCCACCCTCCTTAATCCTCTAAATTTTTGGGATCGCTCTGGGGGCGCTGGGGCCCTTGGCGCCTCCCAGGGGAGTCCCTGGGTTTTCTAGAATGGGGTCCTCTGGGCACTCACTGGGATCTTGGAATCTACAAACTGTCTGGGAGGTCGAGGCTCGGCACACCAAGATAAATAATTCTGCTCTTGGGGTGGTGCTCACCCGGTGCGGAGACTTCCAGGTGCCCCAGGCTTTCTCTTCTGGACTCTCAGAACAGTGGCTGGAAGAGCTGGGCCTATCCTGTTCCGACCCCGCGCCAGAGCCGTGGGGCTGAGTTGGTGAGACGAAGTCTGACCCGCCTCTGCTTCCTTGGTCTCCGGCAGGGGGAGAAGCGAGCAGACATCCCCCTGAACAGCTTCGGCTTCTACGCCAATGGCTCCCTGGAGGTGGACCTGAGCCTCCTGCGACTGGGCCTCCGGGACACAGAAGAGAAGGCCCCGCTGGTGAGGGGCTTTGAGGAGTTTGCTGGAGGAGGGCGAGGCGCACAAGTTTCCCAAACCCCCCTCCAGTCCCCAGTTCGTAGCTCCGCCTCTCATCCGTGTGATCTTGGGCAAGTCCATTGGCCTCTCTGAGCCTCCGTTTCCTCATCTGTAACATGGGAATAATAGAATCTCGTGCAGTATGTGCTGGGCCCTGAGCTGGGGTTGGTGGCGGGAGGGCACACCAATGCACAAGACATCCCCAGTTCCTGCAGTCAGAACAAGTAGCTAGCATTTTTTTAATGCCCACTGAGTCCCAGGTACCTGGCAGAGCAGTTTCCATGGGTCTGTTCTCTCATAGCCACCTCTCAGGGATGCTGTGAAAACGTTACACCTGTAAACCCAGCTTCACAGGTGTTGACACAAGCTTAGAGGTATGTGGCTTGCTCAGAGTCACAGTGCCTAGATGCAAGCAAGTCCACATGTGCTGGATTCCACAGCTCAAGGCAGGAAGCCATCAACATTTTATCTATCTGTTTATTTGTATTTATCACATCAACATTTTAATTGAGTGAAAACAGGGTGGGCTAGGTCCAGAGGACCAGCGAGGGTGTCCCCCACCCCCCGCCCCCGCCCCGGAAAAGTGACATCGAAGTTAAGCTGCATGGGATGGTTAGGAGTTAAGAGTATGAGGGAGCAGGGGCAGGACAGGTTGTTGGAATTCCATGAGTGAATGTGGGACTTAGCACACAATAAGGGTTCAGTCAATTTTAGGTCACATTTCTCTTGCTACTAAGAGAGGTGGCTTGGGGAGGTCCCTATGCAATTCCTCATTTCTTCCCCTTTTCTTTCCACTTGCCAGGTGGGGTTCAGTCTGACTCGGGCTCGATCTGGCAGCATTCCATCCTACTCAGTGAGTGGAGGAGGAGGTGGGGGAGGGGGTGAGGAGACCCCCCCATTTTTTTCACAGGGAGGGGAGCAAGAAGTGACCCTCCCTTGCAAGGTAGATGGGGAGGAGGCAGGGTGGGGCCAGGCTAGTGGGAGGCGGTAACCAAGGCGCCCTCCCACCCACTCCCCAGACCCAGGACCCCCACGACTGTCCTCTCTGGAAAAATAGTAGCAATCTCCTGGTTCTCTTCCTCATCAACACCAAGGATCTGCGGTAAGTTGATGGACCTGAGGACCTCTGTCATTCATCTTTTCCTAGGTGTGATACCCCCATAAGCAAGCTATCAGGTGGAATGAGAAGCCAGCTGCAAAGAACCTCATGCTCTTAGGAGGAAAACCACTTGCTTTTTAATTTTGCCTTCCAGCCTTGTGACTATGGGAAGGAGGGAGCAAGGGGAGGGGGGCCTAGGGAGTGTTGGGGTCTCAGGGCAGAATTCACAGACACAGAGGAGTGTTGTGAGAATTGATAGCCGCCGTTCGTACTTGTTGAACGCTTCCTATGTGGCGGGGAGCATCCTGCGAGCTTTTACAGGTGTTAATTCATCGACTCTTTATACTGATACCATCTCTATTCTAAAGGAGGAAACTGAGGCCCAAGAACCAAGAGTCCAGCAATACTGGGTAGCCTGTCTATAGATACATTTTCATGTTAAATAATGCACTTAAGTGGAATGAGTAAGTCAGTGTCAGGGGAAGTGACAACCACTGGTGCAGGCAGCGCCCAGATGGGGCAGCCGTCTTGATGGCTGGTGGCCGGTGCTGGAACTGTGTGATCACTGACTCAGCCTGACACCGGCCCTCAAAAAGGAGATCCTGAGGGCCCAAGGGACCATTGAGTTCCTCTGCACACGTTGTGTGCGTGACCCAAGCCTTCAGCCTCCTGGCCTCACCCCTGAAGCCCCCACCCTCACCCCAGGGTCCAGGTGCGGAAGTATGGGGAACAGAAGAAGCTGTTCATCTCTCCTGGGCTCCTCCCTGAAGTGCCCTCTGCACCAGGGCCCCCGAAGCCAGAGCTCACAGTCACCCCTAAAGTGAACAGTGGTGAGTCAGGCTGGCTGTGTGAGCAGGGAGGGTGGACGGCCAGGGCTGCGCGGCTGCTCCCCCCCCCCCCCGCCCAGTTTTCTGTTGTCCTGCCCATCCACCCCTAAACTCATTCACTTGCCCCCTATAGGGACCACCACTGCGCTTGACAAGGCCAAGTCAAAACCCACAGTGTTTCAGGGGGAACAGCAGGTTCGAGGAAGCCAGGGCAGGAGGGAGGAAGGTCTGTTCCTCTTCGGGCCGAGGGGCATGTGGAGACCCAGGCCTGGGGCCAGCTGAAGCAGGCACTCTGTCCCATCAGGGCCTCGGTGGGAAGGACAAGGAACTGGTCCTGGGTCTCGGGCATCTCAACAATTCCTACAACTTCAGTGTGAGTATCTGTGAGTGCCCGCGGCCCCACCTCCCCCCCAGAGTGGGGACCCCCCCAGGCTGAGCCCCCCCCCCCGTCTCCCCCTCTGTGCCCCCACCACCCAGTTCCACGTGGTGATCGGCTCTCGGGCCGAGGAAGGCCAATACAGCCTCAACTTCCACAACTGCTACAACTCAAAGCCAGGCCAGGAGCAGCCGTTCGACATCACGGTGAGCAGAGGCGGGCCAGCTACACCACATCCTCCCTGGGGTTGTGCTGTGGAACGAAAGCTGATGTGCCCATCTGGGAGGTGGGAAGACTGAGCCACAGAGAAGGGGAGCGTGAGAGTGGGAGGGCGAGATGCACCCTCACAGCTCTGCACGTCCAGACCTAGCATGAAATCCCCACCACCCACCCTGCCCCCTCCCCAGGTCATGATCCGGGAGAAGAACCCCGAGGGCTTCCTGTCAGCGGCGGAAATCCCCCTCTTCAAGCTGTACATGGTCATGTCTGCCTGCTTCCTGGCTGCTGGCATCTTCTGGGTGTCCGTCCTCTGCAAGAACATGTAATGCCCTGGCCCCTGGGGGGGGTCCCCCCACCTCCCCTCGTCATCGCTCTCCCATCCCTGCCCCTGACCGATGCCCCCCACCCCCTTCTGTCCCTGACCCCCCTGCCAGGTACAACGTCTTCAAGATCCACTGGCTCATGGCAGTCCTGGCTTTCACCAAGAGCATCTCCCTCCTTTTCCACAGTGTGAGAGCCTTGGGCCAGGAGCAGAAGGGGGCGGGGCTGGGGTTTCTGGGTCCAGGAAGAAGCCCGTGGAGCCCACTCCCCAAATCTTTGCAGACCCTGGGCTTGGGAGTTCATGTGTCCCAACTGTCCACATATCCAGCCATTTTTATCACCATGGCCCCCAACTGCCCCCCCAACTCAGCTGTCTGCTTGTCTTGTCCATCTGTGACCCTCTGCCCTTCAGTCTGACTGTCGGTTGGCCCAGCTCTGACTCTCCCGCTGACTGATGGTCCCCTCCTCTGTCACGGCCACAATTGCCCATTTCTGGGTCCACCTGCCATCCTGGTCATAACTGTCAGTTCTGTCAACTTTGTGGCCACCATGCCCACAGTGACTGTCCATGTTCCTGAACCACCACCGCCCTCCCGCTTGTACCACCGTCCACCCACACGTCCGTCCGTCTGTCTGACTGTCCATCTATCCATCCACCTCCAGATCAACTACTACTTCATCAACAGCCAGGGCCACCCCATCGAAGGCCTCGCTGTCATGCACTACATCACACACCTGTGAGTGCCCTTCTCTGGGGCAGGTGGGGGGGCAGGCAGGCTGGGGAGGGCCGGGCGCCACCCCCCCTCACCACCCACACCGTCCCCAGGCTGAAGGGCGCTCTCCTCTTCATCACCATCGCCTTGATCGGCTCTGGCTGGGCCTTCATCAAATACATCCTGTCAGACAAGGAGAAGAAGATCTTCGGGATCGTGATTCCACTGCAGGTAGACCTGGGGCCCCGGGTGGGCAGGCACACGTGCCCCCTTGGGGCACACCTACCCACGCCACACCGCCCCTCCCCCCGCCCCGCAGGTCCTGGCCAACGTGGCCTACATCGTCCTCGAGTCCCGTGAGGAAGGTGCCAGTGACTACGTGTTCTGGAAAGAGATCCTTTTCCTGGTGGATCTCATCTGCTGCGGCGCTATTCTCTTCCCTGTGGTCTGGTGAGGCTCCCGCCCCCACCCCCGGCCCCTTGCAGACGGGGCAGGAGGCTGTGCTGACCGCCGCCCGGGTCCCCTCTCCCGTTCCAGGTCCATCCGGCATCTCCAGGACGCATCTGGCACGGATGGAAAGGGTGAGGCCCTGGTCCCAGGACCTGCTGTGCCCCCCGCCCCTGTCCCGCTTCCAGGCCCCTCTTTCTGATCCCTGGATGTCCCTTCCCTCCCTACCGGCTGCCCCTCCTACCTGTCCTCTGAACGGGCCCCTCCAGACTTCCCGCCCCTTGGACACCGCCCAGAACGTCCCTCCTCCATACCTCTCCCCTTCCCCTCCATCGTCTGTGCACGCCTTTCAGTGGCAGTGAACCTGGCCAAGCTGAAGCTGTTTCAGCATTACTACGTCATGGTAAGAGCCCTGTTCTCACTCAGGGAAGTACCTGGGGGTGTTTTGTTTTTGTTTTTTGCTGGGGGGGGAGGTTACAACCAGCCCATTGGCGGACCCAGTCTAATCCCTCCTTCCGCCATCACTCTGAGCCCCAACACTCGGCCGTCTCCCTGTGTCCTGGCAGGTCATCTGTTACGTCTACTTCACGCGCATCATCGCCATCCTGCTGCGGGTGGCCATGCCCTTCCAGTGGCAATGGCTGTACCAGGTGAAGACCAAGACCAGGGCGGGGGGGCGGGGGGGGGACAGGAGGGTGGGCCAGACAGTGGCTGGGCGGGGGGGGGGGCTATGCCTGACACTCCCATCTCCCCTTGCCCCCCAGCTCTTGGTGGAGGGCTCCACCCTGGCCTTCTTTGTGCTCACTGGCTACAAGTTCCAGCCGGCAGGCAACAACCCTTACCTACAGCTGCCCCAGGAGGATGAGGAGGACATGCAGATGGAGCAAATGTGAGCCACCCCCCACCCGGCTGCCCTGGCCCACAGGGGTGGGTGGGGGAGGGGGAGTGCGGCGGCTCTGGAGGCAGAGTGGGCAGGGCCAGGGTTCTGGGGGGGGCGTGGGGGGGGCGGGGAGGTGGGCAAGCAGCTCTAGGGCTGGATTTGATGGGCACCGGGCAGGTGGGGCCTCGTGCCCCTCAACTCCTGGACCACCTCTTTGCTGTTTGCCTCCAGAATGACCGATTCTGGGTTCCAGGAAGGCCTGTCCAAAGTCAACAAAACAGCCAGCGGGCGGGAGCTTTTGTGATCATCCCCAGTGTCTGGAACCTTCCTCCTTCCCCCACCCCCCGCCTCTGCCCTCCACACACATTCCTCACTCTCCAGCTCCTCTCCCAAAGCACGTGTGGCGGGGGGAGGAGGGCGCCGGGCTGCATGCAGCACCCAGCTCCCTGGGGCTTGAGGTCCAGGAGCCCATTCAGAAGAGGGCCCCCTTCTTCCCCCCAAGCACTGGGCAGCCCTGTCCCTGCCCAGAGCCACCCACCTCTCGCAGCTGGGCAATATGATCTATTTTGCTACCCTGGTTTCTTGCCTTTCTGGGTGTTGAGGTCTAACACTGAGGTTGGGTTTACAATTTAGAGACCTGTATTCCTTGTGGAGGGAGGGTTGACTGCAACCTCCATTGCTCTACATAGTCAATAAATATCAGTTGAGCATCTGCTCTGTGCCAGGCCCCATGGCGGGTACTGAGGACAGAGCAGTGGCGAAGACCCACTCAAGGGACTTAACGGTTGGGGGTGGAGGCCAGTCAGGGAGAGGACTGAGTCACCAGACAGTTCCATCACAGGGCCTTGACCCAGCCTGGGAAGTGAGGGAAAGGTATATAGAGAAGTGGGGGGAAGGGTAGCAGGCCCAGGTAAGGGGACAGCATGTGCAGAGGCTGGAGGGCAGGAAAATGTGGTGGGCAGCCCCGCAAGAGCTCACACGGAAGACTGGAAGTAATCGTGCCTAACACGTAGTGATGCTCCTCTTCCGAGGCTTCTGTTGATCCTAATTCCTATCGGAAAGCCTGTGAGACACAGAGAGGCGAAGTCACTTGCCCAGGGTCACACAGCTGACAAGCTGGGAGACTCGGGACCCAAAACAGCAGGGGCCTGGTTTCAGAGCTGCGCTTTCCCACCAATGGCACTGCCCCCCTGCGCCCAGACTCCCTGCGACCAAACCTTTTGAGTTCGCCCCCCTTTGTCATGTGACCCTGGATAAGTGGTTTCACCCAACCTGTAAGATGGGGGTCCCACGGGATCGCCCCGGATAATGCTGTGAGTGACTCAGCACAGCCTAACCTTTCGTGAATTGCCCTGAACTTTGAGGAATGACGTCAGATTAGTGATGCACCTGTGCGCGCGCGCACGCACACACACACACACACACACACACACACACACACACACGGGCAGCTCCAGAGATAGGCGCGCGCACACACACACACACACACACACACACGGGCAGCTCCAGAGATAGGCGCGCACACACACACACACACACACACACACACACGGGCAGCTCCAGAGATAGGCGCGTGCACACACACACACACACACACACACACACACACACATACATACACGGGCAGCTCCAGAGATAGGGCTCTCCCCCTGTCCCATGGCACCCTTCAACTAGAGTGCCTAGAGCCCCTTTTGGAGCTCTGGGAGGCACTTCTTGGGAAGGGGGGGTTGGGGGCCCAGGCCGGGGACAACGGGTAGAGGATTGGGCTGGGGTCAGACTTCTTGCAAACGGAAGCACGTGTAACGGGCCCAGTGCATAAATAGCCCAGCCAGACAAGGACGTGGGGAGGCACTGCAGACTGGGGAAGTTAGGGGAAGGCGGAGGAGCCCAGAATAGCCGGCGAGCCCCACTGCCGGGCTGGCTGGAGCTGGGAAGGGGTGGAAGCCTAAAGATGCAGACACGGTTGGACTCAGTGCCGTCCCTGCAGGAGCCAAGGAAAAGTTTAAAGCAGGGAAGGAAGGACGTGGCCACACAGGGTCAAAGTCTTACTCCCTGTGCATGCAGGGCTGGGCAGGGCCATGGCTCCCCAAAGATGTCCAGTCCCTGGAACCTGTGAATGTTGCAGTATGTGACAAAATGCACTTTGCAGCTGCGATTTAGCGAAAGACCCTGAGATAGGAGGAGATCCTGGATTGCCCGGTGTTAGCACAAGCGTCCTCACGAGAGGTCCATCGGAGAAGGAGCGTGACAAGGAAACTGGCCAGGGGATGAGCTGTGGGGCTGGAGGGAGGGGCCAGGAGCCACGGAGTGGAGTAGCCACCAGAAGCGGAAGAGGCTGGAAGAGGATTCCTACCCTGGAGCCTCCTGAAGGAAATGAAGGAATGCAGCCCTAACCTTGATTGCAGACATCTGCCCTCCAGACCTGTAAGATAATAAATAGGTGTTATTTTAAGCCACCCAGTGTGTGGTCGTTTGTTACAGCAGCCATCAGAAACTCCTACAGTTCAGGAGCATGAGCTCTGGGTCCCAGCTCTTGCCAGCTGGAGGATCTTGGGCAAGTGGCCAAAGCCCTCAGTTTCTTGGTCTGTAAAATAGGGACGTGGAATAAACAAAGCTGGTGAGATAAGGCGCTGCGTCAAGAGTCTCATGGAGCCCTTCGCCTCATAATTCTGTAGGATCGCAAAGTTGTGTTTTTAGAAAAAGTCCCCAGTTGCTGTAGAGTAGGTGGGCTGGCTGCAGGGAGCCTATAGCGGGGAGGCCACAGACCACAGGGGTGGAGAGAATGGGCAGACTGGGACAGGGAGGAAGGGGGGGACCCTGGCGTGGAGGCCTGGCGGGGCTGTCACGGAAATAAGGCACGAAGGTGGAGGAGCAGGTGTCGGGAAAAATAAAAACACAGTCCAGGTGCGCTGAGCGCTCACTCTGTGTGAGGCACCAGGCTTAGCATTCTGCTTGCTGATGCCACCAGCTTGTCACCCCAAGACTCAGAGGGAAGTTCCATGGCTGTGGGACTGTCCAGTTTACAGATTAGGAACTAAGCCTGGGAGGTCAAAACCTCTGCCCCTGCATCCTCCAAGGTGGGGGCCCTGGGGCCCCGGCCTCTGCTGAGTGTGAGTGAGAGGGTGCAGGGTGGGGGGTGGGGAGAAGGAGCCAAGGGGCAGATGAGACTCAACCAGGCCAAGTTTACCTTTGAGTTAATGAGTAATAAGTAGTGAGAAGGGGAAGCTCAGGTTGCATGGTGGGGGGAGGGAAATTCTCAGAAAGCAGTGTAGCAAGGACCCCATTCTGGAAGTGGGGGGCCAGGAGGGAGAGTGGTCCCTGATGCTCCCAGGCCCGGCACTGCCTCTGAAGGGTGTGTGTGTGTGTGTGTGTGTGTGTGTGTGTGTGTGTGTGTGTGAGAGAGAGAGAGGGTGCAGCGGGGAAGTAACTGCACTCAAGCAGGCGTGGGGTGGAGGGGGGCACCTCCCCCCACCCAGAAATCATCCCCACTTCCTTCCCCTTCTCTCCTTGCCCTTCCAGCTAGGGTGGCAAGACAAGATACAGGACACCCAGTTCAATCTGAATTGCAGATAAACAGCAAATACTTTGTTAGGGTTAAGTACGTCCCAGATACCCCACTCAGCTCAGGCAACCCGGTTCTCCCTCCCTCCGTATCTGGAACGCTGGGCAGGATGCACCAGCTAACTGGAAGTCCCCTCCCACCCCACCCGGTCTCCTTCTCTCTCTCCCCTGCTGGCTTATCTTGCCTGCCATCCCTCTCCCACACTTCTGGGCACAAATGCACACCCCCAGGAAGAAGCCTCAGAGAGCTCTTTCCTTCCTAGCAGGCCCTGCTCTGCATTTGCCTTCATCCCTCAGGTCACTTCCTAGAGATCAGGGGCACAATCATTCACAGACTTCCACCACCATGACCATAAAGTCTATAAGCCCAGGGTTCCGAAGCATCTCAGCACCTTTCATTGTCAAAACAGCAGGAACTATCATCGATCCCATCGTTGAGCAGGATTAACTGAGGCTCTGAGAAAGAAGGAACCGAGGCAGAGGCCAGCAGCAACACCTGCCCAAGATGGTCAAGCCACAGAGCCCAAATGTTTAAGGCTATGATGAATCCAGGAAATAGGGTGGGTTTGGGGGGTGGGGAGGGGAAGAGAGGGAGTAATGGGGGGTTGGGAGATCCTAGCAGGTTCCCCTCTCCCCCCCCCTCCCCCGTTTCAGAAGTCTACTCTCAATTCTGGACAGTAAGCAGGCATTTGCACTCTCCCTCCTTCCAAAGAAGGGGTGTCGCAATCAAAGCAGACAGGGGCCAAGTTTGCTCTGTTTCTGCCCGCCTCCCCCCACTCCAGGCATGCCAGCATAGCCAGGAAAGGAGCGTGGTTTACAGGAAATCCTCACTGAGTTCCCCATTAACCCCTTCCTTGGGACTTTGGAAACCAGTCCTCCAGAGATCAAAATCCCCCATACCAGTTGCCCCCTGTGCCCTGGACTTCACACACCCCTTCCCCCAGATGCACAGCCTTGCTGGAAATCCAACAGATGTACGTCAAAATGATACTGAGGCAAAAATGCAAAGCTTTGCCAGCAGGCTGTCATGATGAAGCAGTGGGGAAATCAGCAATTTCCTGCAGGGGCAGCAAGTATGTAAATCAATACAGTTATGGAGGGAAAGACAGCAAAATCTAGCGAGATTATTCACGCTAGATCCTTACACTCTAGACTGATCCATAGGATCCATATAAGTCGCCTTTGATACAGGGTTACATCCTTTCATGGCAATAACAACCCTGTGAAGTGACTGCTATTTATAACCTCACTTTACGTGGGGAAACTGAGGCTCACAGTGGTTATTAGTCAGGTGCCCAAAGTTTACCACTAATAAGGATCAGAACTGGAGAGTGATGCAGGCTCAAGATTACTCACTGAGGAGAACATGGCTTATAACCATGGAAGTCTATCCACGGGGAGGAGGCCAGTTACTTTCGTACAATGCAATGTGAGGCAGTTGCCTCTAAGAACAAGGAGGCTCTCTTGGCACTGGTATTAAACAGTCTCTAGGGGATATTGTTTATGAAAAAGCAAGGTGTAACCCAGGCAGGGAAACCAGGAAGAACAGCATGTAGAGAACTCTGATCACTTGTTTTTAAAACTCGTGAACATTTATAAATGCATGAGATATCTCTGGAAGGAAACCTGAAATTTGGTTGCACTATGACATTCGAAACCTGAAAGTTTGCCAACAGGAATAGGAGAAAAGTTACCTTTTCCCTGTACACCTCCTTGCACCTTTTAGCTGTTGAACCATATGAATATATTACGTATTCATACCAAAAAAACTAAATACAATTCATAATAATAGTAATAATAATAACATCTTAAGAGAATGTTGATGTAAGACAGAAAAAAAGCTAGCAATGGGGAATTTGCTCAATGACGACTTTTTTTTTTTTTAACCATCATAGTCATTCAGACCATGCTGGTCACCTGACAAGGGTAGGTGAAGGGAACTCCAGGCTCCCCTTGCCTAAAAACCATGCTCACCTGCCTAGTGAACTTCTACACATACTTCAAAGCCCAGCTGAAA